AGAAGTTTCAAATGGTCGTAATGAGTTTATTCTAAGGCGTGATCGAGTACGAATAAAAGATAAAAAATATCGTGTTGCAAAATTAAAAAATATTAATGATTATTGGAAATTTTGTTTTGGTAATGATATTTCATTTCAATTTCCATTATCACCTTTAGAAACTGATGATCAATCAAAAACACAAAATTCACTTCCAACAATGACTAAAATGATAACTTTAACTCAAGTTGAATTTTTCGAAAAAAAATTATTTTCGAATTAAAATTTCTTTTCTTGTTTCTTTAGCCTCAACTTCATGAATTATTACAACATGAAATCAATTGGCTTAAGGAATGCGGATATTCACTTCATTTAGTATAATCTTTAATTTATTCTCAATTGATTGATAGACTTTATTTTTTTACTCAAGGCTATGTACATGTATGCTACATTAGTAGCTATTGAAAAACCTATCAGTGAAGATGTAATGTATACAATACGACAAACATGCTCAGCATGGAAACAAATACGAACGAAATTATTAGTAAGTAAATGTTCTACATAGAAAATTTTGAATTTCAGAAAATATACAATGTGCATTCCTACGGGATTAGAATGTAAAACATGATGTCGCTACTCTATCAAAGGGAGAATGTTTTATTCTATCGATTTTAAAATATATTTTTTTTACCCTCGTTGAAATATGGTCTGTAGAAGGTGTAAATTTCTACTCTATATACTTCGGTATTCGTTTTAGATCATGTTTCACGATTAGAGGTGTAAGCCGAAGGGCCAAACAGCGGCGGCGCCTTTAACGGTCAATTTTTTTTGCATAGTGGCGGCGCCTCCTAGACTTTATGTTTTTGTACACCGGCAGCGGCGGCTGCTGCTAGACTTTATGTTTTTCTGCACCGGCGGTGGCTTTGACAACCAAAAAAAGAAAAAAAACGTCTTTGCATATGTATCGATGTCAACGGCGGCGGCGCTTTATACTATTATCAAAAGTTTTCGTTCGTGACGGCGGCGCACCGGCTGAACTTACTTTTTCACAGCGGCGGCTCCTAAAAAATTCTTAAAATTATCTAC